GCCCCGGAAGCGCTTCCAGATGTACTCCAAATCGCCTTTCTACCGAGCAGGGGGACATGGTGAGCCCCCTGAGACCCGGGCGAGCCCTGAGGGCTCAGCAGGACCCCTCCGTTGCCCCGAGGACCGGCCTCAGTTCACCACCCGTGGGACATTCAACCCAGAGAAAGGCAAACAGAAACTGAAGAGCGTGAAAACGTCCCCCCCCAAAACCAAAGAGCCCCTAGACGGGGGGACGACGGGGGGACGCAAGAGGAATCCTGAGGCCGATTGTGGCGCCACCCAACCCCTTGTTCTCCTGGGGAGCAACGAGTTCATGGTCTGAGATGCTTCACCCAGGACTGCGTCGCGTGCCGGGGCTTCCTCCTCATCGGCAGTGCTCCCACAGCTTCCTCGTTAACGCCAGGAGGATGAATTCTTAAGTGAAAAGGCCTGGGGGTGTGGTTTAACGGTGGCCTTTAAGTTGAGACCTTTGGGGGCGGGGGGGTAGACGGGGATGGAGGGGCACTGGCCGGCTCCTGCGCCCTTCCCCTCGGAGCACCCACGGCTCGGAGCATCGCGCTGCCAAACCCTCGTGCCGAGTCACCCGTCGGTAGGAAAAAAACAAGCCTAAAAATCCTATGGGTAGGAGAAAGCCAAGCCTAAAAATCCCATGGGAAGGATAAAATCAAGCCTAAATATCCCACGGGATCATCCTGAGCCAGCACTGGCTCCGCTGCAGCCAAGCCCTCCGTGCTTTCACCACCTCATCCACGCCATCGCTGAGCGCATGGAAAAGCGTTAAAATCTGCCAAAAATCACCGTTTTCCTTTGGGTTTTGATTTTTTAACGTGACCTAACCCCCTTTCCTCCTTCTTTTTCTTTTTTTTTTTTTGACGACCATCAGTATTAAAAAATTAATAATAATAATAATAATAATAATACTCAAGGACTACTTGAAGCGATATTTGTTTATATGCCGGTTCCTGGAGTTGAGTGTAAATATATATATTTTTTAATTTTTTTTAAAATATTTTTCCCCAGACAGATTTTTTTTTCTTTTTTTTCTTCTTTTTTTAATTATTATTATTATTATTTTGGGGCTGGGGAGGAGGGAAGCAATGGGCTGAGCTGTCCTTGGTGTCACTGCTGGTGTCACCAACTATCACTCAATAAAACAGTGAGTTTTGTTGTCAGCAAGAAATCCCTGGAGGTGTAATTAGCCCATCATAGGACTAATTAATGACGCTAACTAATGACTCAGCTCCTAATCCCTCCCATGTGTCATCATCATCACCCTCGGTGGTACCTGGAGAAGCTCTGGGTACTGGAAGGCCTCTGGAAAGGCAAAATGAGGAACCCCGGGGAGCTAGTCAGATTAATTAAGGCTGGATCCGTCCTTCCAGGTGGGTTGGGCATCACATCTTTCCCAAAACACTACAAAAATTGGGAAGACAGCAGAAACTGGGAGTTTTCCGGAGTATTTGGTCTCTTCCCGGCATCTCTGGGCTGAGCTGAGCCCTTGGTCCCTCTTCCCCTGCCCAAAAGGCCATTTCTTTCCAGGGATGGTTTATTTATTGGGGTTATTTTTTATTTGATATCTGAAATTCCGCTTTTGTTTCAGTTTTACCTTTCTTTGTTTTCCACTGGGGGAAGGGATTGACACCGGGGTCGCGGGAGCAGTGCCTGCCTCAGTGCCACATCCCGGGAGTGCAGCAACATCAACTCAATCATTCCCCATCCAAGGGGGAAAACGAGATTTTCCCAGCCCTAGAGGGGGAAAAAGGGGATTTGGGGCCTGATCGGGATGCACTGGGAAGGCGGATGTGCCCACAACAGGGAAGGTTCCTGGGGAGCCGCCCCAAACTCAGCGGGAGCTGGAATGAGCCGGAGAATCCAAGTGCTCGGGGCCAAACAGCCATTTGGGAGCCTCTGGAGCTAAAAACCCTGGAATTACCTTCTAAGAGATCCCTGGGAGGCTCCAGCTCATCCTCAGGTTTCTCATCCCAGTGGGATGAGAGCAGGGAAGGCAGATCTGCCTTGGGTAAATATATATATATATATATATATATACACACATATATCTATACTTCTTTTGAGCTCTACATACACTTCCTTTATATATAATTTATATATAAGGAAAATATATTAGAATATATTATATATATAAAGAACATCTATAACAATATATATATTCTATATATAAAGAAAATATCCATACAAAAGAGGAATTATTCTCTCTACAATTAAAAAATACACAAAGGAAGATATATAAAGATTAAATACTTTGTATTTTCTGTTTCTTTTATATATAATCCATATTTATATATAAAGAAATATATGAGATATATACCATATATAAAGAATATATATTTCTTTATGTATATATGTTTTTATGTTTATATATATAAAGAAGTATATAAAGGAAATTAAGTATGCAGTTCCTTATGTATATATTTTATATATTTCTATATATAAAGAAGTATATATAAAAGAAAACTGTGCTATATATAAAGAATATTACTTTATATATGTTTGAATGTATTTCTTCTATATGTAGAAACATATTTAATATATGTTATGTAACTTTAACATACTATATGTTTAACATATGTTTATATATGTTTCTTCATATGTATTTGTATATTTCTTTAGCTGGAGAATGTGTTTCTCTATAAAGAAATATATAAAGGAAATGTATATATATATAAAGAATATATATTTTCTCTCTCTTTATATATATAAAAAAATGTATGGAATATAGAGAGAATATAGAGAGAAAATATATTTCTTTATATAGAGAAATGTATGGGATATATAGAATATATAGAAAATGTATTTATATATATAATGTATTTGTAGTTATGTGGAGAGAAAGAAAGACATAAAAGAACTATATAATACATATATATATATATATATATATATATACATATTAAATCCTGGTAGGAGCTGAGCAGGACTGGAGGGATAATGGCATGTTCCAGGGTGTCTATTCCCAGGATCTCCCACCATTCCTTTGGATGGATTTGGGGTCCGAAGGGCTTTTCCAGAAGGGAATGTGCTGACACTGGAAAGGAAAGGGGCTGTGAGGGGGAATTATTGTTATTTTTCATGGAACATTTTCTAAGTAATTTATAATTCTGTAAATTAAACAAAGTCTGTATTGTCAGAGGATTTATGATCCCGTGCTCGGAATCGTGTAAAAAAGGACAAAACCAGAGAAATAAAAGTGTTGTTCTCTAAAGGTGAAGACTTCCCAGTGGGACGTGGATACTGTCCCAAAATTTCAGAGGTTGGGGTTCCTCTTTCCATCAGCCTGGGGGTGTACAAAGGGCAGTTTGTGGATTTTCCTGATTCTCTGACCTCGCAGGGATGGAAGAGCTGGAATGAGGGGTTGGGTCTGGGGATAATCCCATTCCCATGGGATTATTTAATGCTGATTATTCACATTCAGATTATGGTCAGAGGATTTCTATTTCTCTTGTTTGATATTCACATTATTTATTTCTATACAGATTATTTCTATTCCTATTAATTTAATCAGATTATTTATATTTAATTTATATTCAGATAATTTATTTCCAATTGATCTACATTCAGATTCTTTCAGATTATTTCATTTTATTTCTATTGATATTATTTAATTCAGATTATTTCCAATCAGATTATTTAGATTTATCTCATTTATATTCCGATAGTTTATTTTCAGTTTATTCCTATTCATATTATTTCAGATTAGTTTATTTCTATTCAGTTTATTTCTGTTGATTCTGATTAATTATTATTGATTATTAATTATTTGTATTTAATTCTGATTTTATTCAGTCAGGTTATTTATATTTATTTATATTCAGATAGTTTATTTTCAATTTATTTCTATTCAAATTATTTCAGATTATTTAGTTTCATTTTATTTCTCTTCACGTTACTTCTATTAATCTAATTTATATTCTGATTATCCAATTTCCATCATTTAAATCAGATTATTTATATCCATTTTATATATATTTAGTTTATTCCTATTCAGATAATTTATTTGCAACATGTTTATATTCCAGTTATTGATTTTTATTGATTTCTGTTCAGGTTGTTTCCATTCAGCTGGTGCTCCTCCCACTGTCCCCCTGTCCAGGGGGACCCCAGCTCAGTGTCACGGGATTGTGGCTGCAAAGATCCTCTTTATTCCAAGTAGAAAAATAGGGGGGACATAAGTGGGAGCCCCACGGGACATGGCGAGCAGTGAAATGGTGGCAGGAGGGCCCTGCACCCCAGGATGGCATCACCCCCGACCAGTGTCATCCCCGGGCTGGGGTCACCTCTGGGCCAGCGTCACCCCAGGACTGGGGTCACCCCCAGGATGTCCATCACCCCTGGCCAGTGTCACCCCTGGGCTGGTGTCACGCTGGGCTGGGGTGACCCCTGGCCAGTGTCACCTCTGGACTGGGGTCACGCTGGTTTGGTGTCACCCCTAGACAGTGTCATCCCTGGTCTCATATCCAGCCCAGGATGTCCATCATCCCCACCCCTTGTCACCCCTGGACTGGGGTCACACCCGGGATGTCCATCACCCCTGTGGCCAGGGTCACCTCTAGGCTGCCATCATCCCTGGCCAGTGGCACCCTTGGTCTTATGTCACCTCCATGTTGGCACCACTCTTGATCCTGTGTCACCACCAGGCTGGTGTCACCCCTGGCCAGTGTCACCGCCAGGTTGGCTTCATCCCTGGACAAGTGCCCCCAGGCCAGTGACCCCCTCGGGTGGCAGTGGGTCCCTGTGGTGCCGGATGCGCCTTGCCTGGGTTCCTCCAGCATTTGGGACAGTGGCACCATCGAGCCTCCACCCCTGTGAGGTGCTCCCAGTGCATTGGGCACTCGGGGACATTTCCCTGCCACCAGCTGTCCCCAGTGAAGCTCGTCCCACCCCACAGCTGCCAGGGGCACCCCACAGTCCTGGCCACCTCCCTGGAGATGGGACCACGGGCCCTTCACAGCCCAGGGTGAGGAGATCCAGGGTGAGGATGAGAGGGTGCCCGTGCCAGGGGACGAACAAGCCAGGTGGCAGCAGGGTGGGAGGGTCAGTTCTTGAACATGTCACACAGCAGCTTCTCCATGGGGGTGTTGCCAATGGTCCGGCGGAAGAAGAGCAGCTCCACACGCTCTGAGGAGATGAAGCGCAGCGCCGGGAGGAGCAGCAGCAGCTTCCCGAACCTGGGGACAGAACGGTGACCATGGGTGGGTGTCCCTCCCCTGGTGTCACCCGTGGGGACCTGGGGACAGTGGTACCTGACGGGTTGCCCAGGATAGTGGGAACGGTTGTGCTGGCCCAGCATCACCTGTGACTGGTCCTGCAGGTTCTCCACCTGCTCAGGGTCCTTCAGGCCACGGGTCTCTGTGGGGACAGGGGGGTGACGGGGTGGGCTGGGGGCAGGGGGACGGCCAGCAGCAGGTGCTGGTGGGTGCCCTCACCTGGTTTGAAGAGCACCACGGCCTTCATGCAGGCAAACTCGGTGGGGTCGACGGCCAGCGCCTTGAAGCGGCCGAGGGTCTCCTGCAGTGCTCGGACATCCAGGGCAGCCGGCAGCAGCTTCCCAGGGGCCGGCTCGGGGACAGCCAGCAGTGGGCAGCTCTCCAGGGGCATGGACCACTGGATGGCGCAGAGCAGGAACAGCTCACTCCATGCTTCCTCCAGCAGGATCACCTGGTGAGAGCAGGGAGAGCCCCAAAACCACCGTAACCCCCAAGGCCTCCAGCACTTCCAGCCACCACAGTTGTTTGGGCTAAAGAGCATCTTTGGTGGGGGTGCCCCAAGAATGTTGTGGAGATGCTCCAGCCATCCACACCCCACTGGCTACCTACATATGTTGGGGTCCCCGTTGCCCCCAGGATAGATCCCCAGTTCCCCATGGGATCCCCCAACCTCACCTGGTCACGGAAGGGCAGGTTGGAGAAGACAGGCAGGTTCTTGGCCCACTTCACAGCCATGAAGAGGAGCCGTGCAGAGGTCTCGTAGATGTTCTCAGGGCTGGCTGCCGGGTATGGTGCCACCTGGTACTCACCAGCCGCCCGCTCCGGCTCACTGCCCGTCACATCCACCGTCTCATCAGCTACAGGGACGGAAGGGGATGCTGGTGGTCGCCGCACCATGGATACAACACCCCCACCTGTCCCCTCCCCACTGGCAGCCACCCACCATCCTCGGGCTCCAGCTTGGCGCAGGTCTCGGCCGTCATCAGGCTGGCCATGAAGCGATGGTTGGTGGGTGGTGTGGGTGCCCGGGGACCCGGGGTGACGGTGACAGTGGCACTGGGACCACGAGGAGCAGGACAGGGTGATGGAGGCACCTCACGTGTGGTGGCCATGTGCTCTGGGGGCAGCTCAGCATCCAGTTCAATGCTGTCCAGCCGGACCTGGGCCGTGCTGCGGGGCTGACGCTCATTCTGCACGGCTGCAGGGACAAGGTGACATCAGCACTACCCACTTGCTGTCACCCCCTGCCATCCATCACCATGTGTGTGTGTCCCCCATCTCACCGTCCTTGTTCATGCCAGCCTGCAGGCACTTCTTGAGCCGGCAGGCCTGGCACTGGTTGCGGTGTGCCTTGTCCACCGGGCACAGCCCCGTTCCCGCCTGGCACCTATGGGGAGAGGTGACAGCTGGCTGCAGCCCCTGGAGTGGTCCCTGTCCCCACGGAGGGTCCTGCCTCCATGAGTGCCATGGCCTGGGGGTGCTTTGTCCCTTGTCTTATCCCACCCACCATGGGTTTACTCCAACGAGTGCTCCACCACAGTGGATACCCTGGCCCCAACAGGTGTCTTGTCCCCAGTGGGTGCCCTGTCCCAGTGCATACCCACCTTGATGGGTGTCCTGGCCCCATGAGGGTGCCCCAGACACCCCACCCAACCGGTGTCTCCCCCACTGGTTGCCTGTCCCCCAGTTCCTGCCCTGCTTGGGTTCAAGTCCCCCTGGGTCCTTGCCCCATCCGTTGCCCATGTCCTGGGGTCCCTGACCTGCTGGGTGTTCATACTGTGGGACCTTATCCCACTGGGTTCCTGTCTCCAAAGTCCCTGTCCTCCTGGGTGTCCATCTCCCTGTGTCCATTCCCTGCTGGATGCCCCATCCCCTGACTCCCTATCCTAGTGGATTCATGTCCACCTGGTCCCCATCCCACTGGTTGCCCATCCCCTGGGGCCCTTGCTCTGCTGGGTGCCCCTACCCTGCTGGGTGCCTATCCCCACCATTTCTGCCCCACTGTCCATCCTCTGCCTCCCTTGCCCCTCTGGGTGCCCCTCCTTGGGGTCCCTGCCCTGCTGGGCATCCTTTCCCCCATTGTGCCAATCCCCAGGGTCTCTGTCCCGCTGGGTTCATGTCCCCCTGGTTTCTGCTCCCCTGGCTTCCCACACCCCCATTCCCTGTCCCGTGGGGACATCCCTACCCCCATCCCCCCCCATTCCCACCTGTAGATGAGCTTCCTGCGGACGCTGCGCTTGAAGAAGCCACTGCAGCCGTTGCAGGCGTAGATGCCGTAGTGCTTCCCACTGCTGGTGTCCCCGCACACCTTGCACAGCAGCACCGGGCTCAGCGCCTTGCCCGGGGCCGGGCTCAGCCCTGTGGGAGCAGACCCGGCACGCTCAGAGTGACTCCAGACACCCCGATGTCCTTTGTCCCTCCCACCAGTCCCTGCCACCTCCCAGCATCCTGGCAATGGGGTGGCTCCCATCACCACCGGTCCAGCCCAGGGACATGGACTGGGACTCTGCATGGGGTCCGCATCTTTCCACACCCCAGCACTCGGAGTGATGCGGGATGTGCTCTTGACTTTTAAAAAAACACAAAGGAATGAAAGGGTGTCCCTAGGGATGGGAACTCCAAGCATGCCAGTGAGGGGACTCTGAGCATCCCAGAGAAGGGTTACAATCAGGGATGCGAGGTGTCCTGCAGAAGGGACACCTCTGGGGACATGGGGCATCCCAGAGAAGAGTCACAGCAGGAGACAGTGGAGACCCTGGAGAAGGGCTGGTGTCCAAGGGGATCCAGGAGAGGGTTGTGGCTGGGGACTGCAGGCATCCTGGAGAAGGGGCATAACTGTGGACCCCAGGGCTCCTGGAGAAGGAACATGATGAGGACCATGGACACAATGGAGAAGGCTGGGAACTGCAGGCATCTCAGCCTGGAGAAGAACCACGATGAGGACCCTCAGCATCTTGGAGAAGTGTGATAGCTGAGGACCCCAGGCATTCCAAAGGATCCTGATGGGAACCCTGGGCACCCAGGAGAAGCATCATGATGAGGACCCGAGGCATTCTGGAGAATGATGACGATGGAGAACCCTAACATCCCAGAGAAGAACCATAATAGGGACAATGAGTGTCTTGGACATGGACCATGATAGGGCTCCCCAGGTATCTTGGAGATGGACCACGATGGGAACTGAGAGCATCCAGTTGGCTGTGCTGGGGAACCCAGGCATCTTGGAGCTGGACCACAATGAGTACCCCAAGTATGCCAGAGGAGAACCGTGAAGAAGACTCCCAGAACGACCACAACAGGGGTTCAGCCATCTCAAAGTTCCCCCTCAGTGCCCACAGTCCCGCCATGTCTCCCCCGCTCCAGCAGAACTTTCTACCTCTTACCTGTGGGGCTCTCGTCCAGCCCGGCGCTCACCACTGACCCCTCCGGAGACGCAGCCATTCCCGACCCGGCGTTCCTGACCTCTCCCTGTCCTGTCCCTCTGGATCCAGCGCGGTGGGTCTGGTGAGGCGGTGGGTGCTCGAACAGCTCTGCGGGCAGCGGGGCTCTTGCCTTGCTCTCTTCAAGGCGGCTTAGGCGGGCGCTGTGTAAGCAGCCGCCTCTTTGTCACCCTCTTAATCTTTAGTGTCTGCGCGGGGCGGGGGGGATCAATCAGCCACGCGATGAAGAATTAAAAAGGTGCTGAGCCCCAGCCCTGTAACCCTAAACCCCGCGACATCCAAGCCACCCCCCCGCGCGCCACGGCGGGCCACCGTGGGGGTGTTACCCTGTCACCGCGTGTCCACCCCCCCAGCACTGCGAGGCTGAGATTGAGGCAGAGGTGGGAGATGGGGATCGGGGTGGGGACCCCCCATATGTGTGTGTCCCCCCCCCTTGGGACCCACTGGGTCCTGTAAGCGCATAAGCCCTTCACTAAGGCGGTTAGAGGGGAATAACGAAAAGTGGTAATTAAGGGGGGTAATTTCCCTGCCCCCAAATAATTAATTACCGGCCCTGATGGCGAAAGGAGGGGGGATGCTCGGTGGGGGTCCCCCTGTGCCTCAGCTTCCCCCCCCCCCCGGGCGGTGGGAGGGGTTCGAGGGGTGTTAAGGCTGCTGACACCGCAGCGGGTGGGGGCCAGGTGGCCCCCGGGGTTACGCAACCACCGCTAAACCCTCGCGGTGACAGGGCAGCACAATTTGGGATTTGAGGGCTTTAGCCGCTAAACCCCCCCCGCCCAGCTCAGGCGGGTGGCGGGTGGCCACTGTCACCCGGCCCGGGCTGTCCCCAGCGATGGGCCAGGCTGAGGATGGGTGTTCCGGCCCCCCTTGGGCGGCTCAGAGGTGTAGCTGCTGTGGAGGTGTCCCAGGAGACAGGCACTGGCAATAAGTCCCCGCTGAGGGCTGGTGGAGTGACACCAGTGGAGCCAGGGGCTGGGAATCACCCCTCAGGCATCCCTGACTGCTGTGCCTGCAGCATTCCTGCATCCCCCCTGTCTGCACCCTGGCTGTGTCATCCTGCCTCCAACCTCCTTCCTTCCCCCCTGCCTGCAGCATTTCTGCATTCCCCCTGCCTGCAGCATTCCTCACTGCATCACAACTCCATCAACCTTGCCTGCACCATTGTTCCATGTTCCTAAGTGCAGCATCATGCCATCACCCTTCCTGCCTGTACATCGCTCCACTGTCCTTCCTACCCACACATAGCTCCATCCCTGCCTGCACCAAAACTCCATCCCTGCCTGCATCATGGTTTGACCTCTTTGCCTTCACCACAGCTCCATCCTTGTCACCACCACAGCTCCATCATCCTGCCTTCACCAGAGTTTCATCCTTGGCTTCACCACAGCTCAATCCCTGCCTTCAAGACAGCTCCATCCCTGCCTTCACCACAGCCCAATCCCTGCTTTCATATGGTTCCATCCTTGCCTTCACCACAGCTCCATCCTTGCTGCCTCCATGGCTCTGTCCCTGCCTTCACTATGACTCCATTCCTGCCTTCACTACAGCTCCATGCCCCCAGCCTCCAGCCCCCCTGCACCCCTGGGACCCCCATCACCCCGGGGTGCCCTGTCCACCCCGCAGCACCCGCCCTGACCCAGATCTCTGACTGCCACCATCTGCGGCGCGGCCGCCCTCCTCCTGCGGCAGAATTATGACGCTGGGCTAATGCGGAGGGAGCAAGCTGTCACCTGCCCTGCCTGGCCCTCCGGGGCCTCCAGACCCTTGGCCCGTGGGTGAAGCATCTCCCGGTGCCTGATCCAGGGATACCAGGAGGACCCGCACTCTGGGGTGCCAGCCTGCCCATGGGTGACACGGGGACCTGGTGACAGGGGATGCCAGGCAGTGATCAGCATGGCAATACACGCTGAGTTGGCTAATTTGCCTGTCCCCTCCTCACCGTCGGGTAAAAGCCAGCTCCGGAGCAGGGATTTGGGAGGGGGATTAGCCAGGCCAACCATCTGCTGCCAGCCAATCATCAGCACCCCCAGGAAAGCCAATAATTACAAAAATATGGTTTCTTCCCCTGTTTCTCCATTACACCCAGCTGGGCGCTGTCCCCAGGTGGGATTCCCCTGGAGCAGCACCCTTCCTGGGGATGAGCACTCCATAAGCATCCAACTGGGCACCATGTGGGCTCAGCCCAGCCTGTTTTTGGGAGCCACTCTGATGCCGCAGCAGAGGGGCTGTGGGTGGCGGGTGGGGGTGAAGGAGCAAACGTTAAAGCCCGCGGCGGGGTCGTGACTCGGCTCGGTGACAGACGCTGGGGCAGATGCCACAGGATTACTCAGCCTAAAACCTTGGGATCTGCCCCCCTTCTCCCCAGCAGGCAGAGAGCGTTTAATTACTAATTTACTAATTACCCAAAGATGATGGCAATGGGCTTGAGACTTGCGGCTGGGAGCAGCCCCAAGGCTCCAGCCACCCTAATCCTACTGGTCATGGGAAACTGACAGATGCACCCTGGCCAGGGGGCAGCTCAGCCAGGGACATTGGGTGTCGAGGGAGTCACTGCTGTCCTGGCAGTCCCACTCCTGCTGGAGATGGCACAGGCTGGTGGGGAACCAGAAAGGGATGATGGGAATGAAGGGGAGATACTGGCAACCAGGAGGGGATGATGGAGATCAGGACAGACTGATGGGCATGAAGGGGAAACGACAGGTTCAAGGAGGCAACAACAAAGATCAGGAGAGGGTGGTGGAGATGAGGAGAGGGTGGAGATGAGGGTAGAATGATTTGGACCCAGGGGATAATAAGAGTGAAGATGGGATGATTTGAAACCAGAAGAGGATGACGGAGACCAAGAGGAGATGGCAGGGACCAGGAGAGGACAACAAAGATCAGGAGGGCCCCATAGGAACCAGGAGGAGGTGATAGGGACTGGGAGAGGATGATGATGAACAGGAGAGGACAGTAAGAACCCAAATGCTTTAATGGTGAGCCAGAGACAATGACAAATGGTGGAGAACAGGAGATGACAGCAGTGACCAGGAGGGGATGATGGAGACCACGACAGGACAATAGAGACCATGTGAGAATGATGGGGATCAGGAGGGGGTGATGAGGATCAGGAGGGGGCAGTGGGACACAATAGGAGTGGATAGGGATCATGAGGAGATAATGAGGACTGGTATGGGATGATGGGGACTGGGAGAGATCAAGAGGGGAGGATAGGGACTGGGATGGGATGATGCGGACCAGAGTGGGACAGTAGTGACAAATAGGGGCCAAGAGAACCCAGAGAAATGGTGAGGACCAGAAGATGATGATGGAGACCAGGAGGGAACACTGGGGACCAGAAGGGTATGATGAGAACCAGAGGGTACATCAGGGTGGGACAATAGGGACCAGGAGAGGATGGTGGTGTTCAAGAGGGGACAAGAACAACCAGAATATGACACAAAGATCCAGGAAGATGGCTGTGGGACTGGAGGTGGCTGGGAAGGGTTAACATGGCTGCCTGCCCTGAGTCAGGTCCAGGCCAGGCTCGGGTTTCAGCTGTAATTAGCTCCTGTTTATTGGAGGCTCCGTGATAAATGATTCTTTGGAGGTTGCCTGATGACAGAGGGTGACAGTCACCCACCCGAGCCGTGCCAAAGCCTTCACTGACCCCCCGGCACTAGGATTAAAGTTTAATGTGACTCCAGAGCTGACCCCGGTCACGCATCGCCCCTGGGGACACAGGGCCAGGGACAGGCTGGTGGCCACCCAGGGCCAGAGGGTTTTGACACCAAGAAGTGATTTGTCACCAGCCCAGTGGCCACTGGCTGTCAGTGTATTGTGGCCACAGGGACGTTTTGTGACTCCTTTGGGGTCACCCAAAAGGTTTGTGGATGAAATGTCACACCAGGTTTGGTTTGCGCCCCTGGGACTGGCCCCACACGACGGGCACGGTGCCACAGTGCAGCCGGTCCGGGCACATTCCTGGTCACTGGTGGAGCCATGTGCCGGTGCCAAGACCCGCCACGATGTTCACTGTGGCAGGCTGAGGTCCTGTCCCACAGCCACCCTTGGAGCAGCAGCAGCTTTGGGACCACAGCAAAGTGAGGAGACCTCAGAGGTGTCTCCACGGTGAGGAAGCAGCGCATGGCACAAGTGCCAGGACTGGCACAGTGCCTAAGGCCATGGGTTTCGGCAGGGTGATGTGTCACCACAACTGTTTGCGGGTAGAGAGGTCCCTGAGGTGGGGCCGGGCACAGTCCTTGTCCCCAGCTCTCAGGACATCACTTTTTCTCCTTGCAGATGAACCTCCTCACCCAGGTAAAGGGGGAGCTGGCACCGAGGATACCTGCACCCAGGTGGTCCCACCCCTCCACTGTAGCACCAGAACCCCTGGATCCCATGGCTGGGACCTACCTGGGGCTGAGTCTGGTGGTGGGAGGGGCCACAGGGGGCCTGGGAGGCTGCTCTGGGCTAGGGAGGGTGCTGACAGGGGTGGGTGCTGGCAGGGTTGGGTGTCAGCAGGGTCTGGGTCCCTGTCTCGCTCTGATTCCTCTCCTTACAGGTGAGCTCCCTCCTACAGATCCTGCAACCCCCAGACTGGCTGTTCCTCAAGCCCTGGCACTGGCTGGGCTCCTGGGTGAGACTGGTTTGGGGGTGCTGATATAGGGACCCCCACCAGGGGCTCAGGCACAGGGTTGGCAGCAGTCCAGGCAGAGGCTGAGCCACGGCACTGGTGCCCTGGGTCCCCTCTCCCCTGTGCCACTGGGGCTGATGCTCAGTGTTTGTCCCTCCAGGTGAGCAGCTCCAGGCAGGTAAGTGCTGGCATACCTGTTGTGCCCTGCACTGCCCATCTCACCCTGGCACAACAGGGCTGAATCCTGCATGCCCTGCCTTTCCCTTGGCACCTTTCCCTTGGTGCTCAGCATCTAGAGGAGGTGGCCTCTTCCTGGAGGGTTTCCTATCCATGGAGACCCAGGGATGCAGGATGAGCCAGCAGGTTGGTGATGCTGCTTGTGTCCT